GAGAGAGAGAGAGAGAGATTTAAATTAACTATATCTAAACAATTGTGCAATTACCTGTACAACAAGGAATCGATTTTGCTGTCATGACAAAGGCAGCAAATTCCTCTCCTCACAAAATCCAATTGACATTCATCATGAATCATATTTTCTTTTGATAATTCATCTGCACAGGTTGAGAAAGAAAAATTGTATGTTGATGCACCAAAAAGGGAAAGGGCAAAACAAGTTCCATTTTTCAGAAAACATTAAGCAAATTTTAAAATGAAATTATTATCTATAATTATAGTCATCACTTGATAAAATAATAAGATAACTTGCCTTGCGTTGGGAATGAACGGTTCAAAGCTGCCGAGACCTCTTGCCGCACAGAACGTTGCAACTCTATCTGCAAGTCCATGCATTGTTCGAGCATACTCTGCATATTGTTCAGCCTCTGCTGAAGTCTAGTTATATCAACCCTCAACTCATTCACGACCTCCCACTCCTGATGCAGATACTAGGTTATAACTCATAAATTCTCAAGAAAAGCTGGACATAAATAAACTACAGAAGAGCTAACAAGCAACTAAATTTTAAGGAATGCGGTTATATATAGCACTGACAAATTTGGTATACTAGCCAACATACTGTTATGCTTATAAGTAACAACAGCCGTACAAGATATTCCAATTTTCAAAATTAAATTATAAAATTGAATATCTGAAACAGTGCTTCTTACAAACACCTGGGTATTGCCCTATCTGTCAACTTGTGAATAGTCGCAAATGTATTTACGAAAACCTCCCATGGGATCATTAATTTCATAAAAAAGTTAACAAAAACCTCTACCGAGTATTAGGGAGCAACTTATAACTAGACACATATCGGAGATCCGATATTGAATACTGAAAGATAACCAGTTCTGTTCTAGGCTATTATGCTTAATTCAATGTGAATTGTTTGTTTAGTTTCACACATACATGTTCTAAATTCTAGACATATGTAATATAATGCATGACATTACCATTCCCGGATTCTGACTTGAGCCATTGTGAAACACATTTTCACTCTGTAACTCAAAGTCCCAAGGAGTCTCAGGTTCAGGAGAAAGGGCAGAAGTTTGGGTAAATAAATCCACATCAGCACCTTCAGATTGAGACAGAGCCATGTCATCATTTTGTCGTCTCACTTCTTGCTCAGCTAGGTTAGGATAAAAAGACCCATTATCCGACTCCCAGTCGCCTAGAGCATTAGCTTGCCTTTCCACATGAGACCGCAGCACTTGGTTCAGACTCTCACGGAAACCACTTCGTAACAGACTAGAGACATGTCTCCTGCACCGAAAAAAAAAAAGAGAAATTAAAAATTAACAGTTTGATGGGATGTTGTCATTTTTGCTTTAGGTAATAATAATAATAATAATAATAATAATAATAATAATAATAATAATAATAATAATAATAATAATAATAATAATAATAATAATAATAATAATAATAATAATAATAATAATTTGGAAAGATCAACCATAACAGAGAACTTATTACAGTGAAATAATTTGAGGGATGGTGGTTGGCCATATTTGCAAATAGAAATTAAATGTTCAATAGTAAGTTAAGAGATAATCACAAAACCTACCTCGAGGTTCGGTGCATTTACTATATATAATCAAAGAAGTCGTAGAAGTTACAAAGAGAAATATCTATGAGGCACAATGCGATCTCATATTTGCCACCTTCATAGGCATACAACAATTACCCTCTATCCCCTAGAATCATAAGCAAACACCTTGTGAAACAACTCACTATGCAAACACCTCACTATGGCTTTCTCTAATTGTGAAACAACTTGTGGATTTCCTCATAATGATACCAAAATCTCAAGGCAGCTCTGTTTTGGATATTCTAACAGATTCGTTTTGTTTTTTTGTTTTTTTTTCTGGGGCCGGTAGTTTTCTGCAGCTATCTCTCAGTTTTTCTTTTTTCTAAGAGGTAAAGCACAATCTTTATAAGCATTTCAGTTATGCATAAAAGAAACCCAGAAGCAGAATGAATCTAACATGACTCCCCTCTCATGATTCTGGATCCTGAAGAGTTGTGCCGCATTAGCAAACTAAGGATTTGGAGAACCTAAATCAACATATCGTTCTTCTTTTCATCAAAAAGCTAACAATCACAATTTCTTAGTGTTTGAAAATACTCCACTCAACGTAATGAGATCACATACCGGCTAAAAAGCTCTCTGATTTCCATGCTCTGAGCATTATCATCATCAGAAAAATAAAAGGTATGAATCCTTCCGAATGCACCAACATCTCCAGAAGGCATGTCTAGCCAACTATCGATAGCCTCTTGCAAAACGTCTTCTTCATGAGATTCTTGCATCTGATCTTGCCTGTCTGCTCCGTTAACAGAGGTATTATCAAACCACTGACTGGAAAGTGCATTTTGCGAGTCTAACTGTTCGATATTATTTCCGTCAAATCCAGCTGTAAGATCAAGAACCGTTTCTTGACCAAAACTCGCACTTCTCATTTCATATTGTTCATCAGCTATCTCATGAGAACCCTCATAATTTATATTCTCATTTGAAAGGGGCATTTCATTAGCATTAGTAGTATTTATCTCTTGCTCGGCCAATTCAGCCGACTCAATGTTCAAAACGGGTTCATCTGCAATATGAACGCCTCCAACATCGTGTAATACTTCTTGTTGATGTCTGTCAGTTTCAAAATACAATTCTCGAATATTCATCTCGTTTTGGGTCACTGGAGTATATAATTCCGAGTGTGCTAAGAATCCTAGCTGACTTCTGCTTTCATTTGCAACAGATTCGGAGTCTGGCATTGTCTGAATCTCTGTTATTGCAATTCCCCTGTCTCTAGTCTCTAATTCACTAATGTTTCCGTTGCTGGATAAGGTATCAAATTCGGCATTGTTCGCAGAAGCAGAAGCAGAAGCAGAAGCAGGAGCAGAATCATCCAATTTGGAGAGAAATCCTTCTCTGTATTGCCATATCGAGACACAAGTATTTTAGTGAAGAAATGGAAGAACACAAAGAGTGAAGAAAAGTTTTTCAATTAAAGCTACCGAAACTGAACAATAACACTAAAAAACAATCAAGTAATCAACACAAGAAATGTTGGGATATTTAAGTCATATACTGGTGGTGGAGCATTTACATTCGGATACGAATTACAGTCCCGGCATAAACATTGAAACCAGATAGAATCTACCAATACAATAAAGAGCAGAAAAGTCCAGCAAATATTTATAAATTCTGTGCTGAAATATTATTATTTCTTGACAGCAAAATGAATTTCCAGAATTTGATAACGCGAGCAGTGTCTGAAATGATACACGTAGTATCCAACCAATCCTTTACACACCAAAGGAAAAGGAAAGGAAATGAAAAGATCAAATACAACCATCCAGTCACAATTTTCCAGCACCACTCTAGAATATTTTATCCTTCATCTGGGCTTAGTTTTTGTATCCTTGACCCCAAACATGTAGATAAGGAGTACAAAATGTTTTCAGTTGAATAAATGGTTGTATTTGCCTTGGATACACCAATAAGTCATGGAACAAATTGCTTAGAAAATACCAGGAAGCTAGGCAGTAAGGGACAAAAATATTGTTGTGTGCTATATGTGTTAATAAGAGCATACCGTAGGCCAGAAACGGTATGTTTTTGCCTTAACAAACCTAGTTCCGTTGCAGCCACCGAAGATGGCCTGCTGTCCAGGGTCGATCTTTCAGTCCTTAAGAACCTTCCTCTGAGTAAAGCCTGCAGGTTTTCCAAATTAGTCTTTGCAATATATAATACAAAATCAAATTAATATATTAGCTGCCTTTATACAGGAATTATGAGGCTGCGTCCATTGTATGCAAATAGTTAACAAAACACCAGATTCCCAAAAAAACAAAAGGATGGAGAAAACAACTACCACGGCAATGAACTGAAAAACTGGAACCACAGGAGCATACATTAAAAAGAGAGTGAGAGAAAAGAAAGGAGTTCAAATAACGTGTAACAACATATAACCTGGATGCGATTGCGGTGGACAAACCCCGACACGGGCTTCTGGTCGAACAAACCCTGAAGTTCTTTCCTTCGCTCATACTGAGCCCTCACGAGAAGATCGATAAGAGTCTGTCTACCGCATATTTTCCGAACGGTCCTTCTTCCACAAATCTCTGGATTAACGATTGCTAATCCATCACGAACCTGCTCACTATGAGAACTGGATTCACAACCTTCCCCACTGCTTCTCTGCTGAACATTCGTATGCACCAAGTCACGGATAATTCTCACCCTTTCGCACTCATTCTCGCCAAGCCACTCTGAACCCGATCGGCTATTCGGCTGGGAATGGCCCGCGGCCCCACTATTCATCCACCCTTGAAAAATATGTCTTACCCGCTCGCGCTCGTTTTCTCCGAGCTCGGTTGACTGTTCGGATATAATGCTGTTATCATCATCTTGCTCAATTCCGGAATTTGCAGTGCCTTGGTTATCACTTCCAAGGACATTTTCAGAAACAGAGGTACTTAAGCCCAATTCTGAGTCATTTCTCAGTCTTGTTGACCTAGGAGAACGGGTCACCTCATGGTCTCCCTCGAGCTCTCGCCACATCTGCAAGAGAGAAGAAGCCCGGGTGCTGCGTTCCGACACGTGAGACTCCCCGAACAAGGAAGGACCGAAAGGGGAGACATTATGCAAACCGGCAACAGCCATTTTTTTCCTTGTTTTGTTTTCCAAGGTTTACCGCCTTAGGGCATAAATCACAAAGATTTAGCCGCAGCTGTTGTCCGTGAGATTAGGACAACCGGGCATCTGAATGTAATCATCACGAAATGCTGGATGAACATTTTGATTCACAGCAACTATAAACAAAACCCAACGCAGCTACAGCTTCAGGAGACTGCAAGTCAACAACTGAATCAGACAGCGGTTGCAAAAGATCTTGGAAATTTACATTGTCATTTGAATTAACATTCATTAGAGTATGAAAAGTCAAATAAATCGGATTTTATTCTTGAAATTCTTATCTATCGGAGGGAAAAAAAAAAAAAAAAAACTTTCTAAAAAATTAGTATTTTAATAAATAAATAAATAAATAAAGCTAGCTACATACGGATCCATATTGTCTCTTAACTGATACAACTCAGCCAAAAGGAAAAGGGGGCAAGCAAAAGCAACTGTCAATGTTTAAATTTGCTAGTTGAGACCAAGAAAGGAATCCCACATGGTTTTAAAGGGAAACCGATAAAGCAGATAGATTCATCAATTAAAAAAACAAAAAAATATCCGAAAATTCAACATTAATCCATAACGCACAATATGCAGAAAACGTAATTTGCACCATAAATTCACAAGAGCTCGAATAAATTCACGCATATTCATACGAGAATAACAGACTGCACCCAAAAACAACAGCAATCATCAACAAAATAAACCAAAGCACAAATTACCTCCGAAAATAAGCAAAAAAAAAATAAAAA